ATATATGTCTATAGATCCAAATAAGAGACAAACAAAGCCACAGATGGGCTGCAGCAGAGGCCTGGGCACTGGATCTGGACAGGCAGTGGCAGGAGAACAGCTCCTGCAGGGAAGACAGGACCAAAAGCACACTCACTGCTCCATGGCAGAGCCCAGAGTAGGTCTCCCGATTCAGAAGAAGGAGGCTGCAAAGCAATAGGCTGTGTTTTATGTTCATCTGGGGATGTGGTTCTTTTTCATCTGTGGGACCAGTGAGAGGTGAGGACACGGCCTTCTGACCAGGAACTAAACCAAGGCAACCTCTGGCCCAGGGACTAGGCCCATCTCTAGACTGGGGCCCAAGGGGCCAGGTGGAGGAAAGTCGTCGATATGGAGAAGTGAGAACACACACACACACACACACACACACACACACAAAGTGAGAGAGAGAGGGAGACATAAATATTAAAAGGAAACTATAATTTTTAGAAAAACATGGAGAAGGATAGCTCTATAAACTTGAGTTGAAAAGGATTTCTTAAGCACAAAAGGCATGAGCCATAAAAGATGGATAAATTTAACTAAATCACAATTAAAAACCCCTGTTCAACCAAAGCAACAATCACAAAGCCACAAAGGGTAAAAACAACCCAAACGTTCACTGGGCAAGTTGGACAGATCATATGTGGTGCACATGCAACAGAATACCATGCAGCAGTTAGAATCAATGAACTAGAGCTATATGTAATAACACAGATAAATCTCAAAATATAGCACTGAGGGGAAAAAAAGGAAATTTTAGTAGCATTCATTCACTATATTCATAGAGAACATTGAAACATGCAAAATAAAACTATAATGTTTAGGGACACTTACATATCTACTAATTGTATAAAAACATGGTACTTGTTCAAAATTAACAAAAACTCAACAGAAACTAATCTCCCTTGGACAGCTTCCATTGGTCACTCCTCCAATTCAGACGTGCTTCCTCTAGCTGCCCATAATACCCGTCTGTATTAGTAGCAATTAGCAATTGTAATATGGTGGCCTACTCAGTGGCCGTCTCTACTACACTGTAGCTTGCTTGAGGGAGGAACCACGTCCTGTTTGATTCTGTTTTCCCAGTGTCTTCTGTATTCTTTAGTTTGCTGGTTAGTTGTTTT